AGAATAGTTGTCAGTGGCATCCCTACTGAGTTCTGTGATCTGTTTCCTTAAATGTACTAGCATCTCTGCATGGAGCTGATCTTATACACAGCAGCACCACCATATGGTCCGTACTGCAGCCAGCCGTCTCTCCATGAAGCCGGGAGAGAGGCGAGGAGAAGGAGCGGCTGAGCCTGAAGGCCTGCTGATCCTGGCCCACCTCTCACTGTTCCTTATTCAATTAATCAAAGCCTTGATTAGGCTAACCCAGACTCCCTCAGGTAATGATGAATGGGCTGCTGGAGAAGCTGAGCTCAGAACCCTGCTACTGTATGTGCGGTCATGGATGCAAGTGGCAGACCAGCCCGGAGGCAGGAGGGTGGCGGAGTGGTCCGAGGGGCTTGGGTTAAAAGGCGTGTCGCGTCTTTCAACAACAAGGCTACTCAGTGCTGTTCATAAGAACAACGGCATGGAGACAACGGATAAAACACAAGACAACATGAAAAGACACAAGTTTAAAAAGACTAAAATAAGAGAAACTGAAGAATAACAAATTTCAGAAATTACATATAAATATATAAAGTATAGTAAAATATAGTATAAATTTTATTTATTTATAGTTATCTTAAATACAGTTAATATAAAATAGAGTTTCGGGTTCCACTATGGGTTTCATGCACATTTACTGACTTAGTAGCTCAGAAATAAATGAATCAAACTAACTAACTTGTAATACTTGTTTCACTGCTTGAATGTGTGCTACTACTGATATTAATTTCAGGTGTCTGAATAGTGACACTAAATTAATCTTCATCATTGATATTCACTCAGTCTTTATGGAAATGCAACACAACTGCCTAGCATTTGTATTTACTCTAAATAGATGATTTAATAATAAGCTGTAGAACAATAAACTTTAGTTTCTATCTTAATATAGGTCAGAGTTCACAACTACATGAAGATGTCTGTCTTGTTTACATTAAGGATTCATGGTAACCACTGACTTTTAACCATTACAATAATTAATTTTTTTTATATTTTGTTTAAAAGGAGCAAAAAAAGCTTAATTCAATTGAGGGCTGGTCCAGCATTTAATATAGTGACATTTTGTGACGAAATAAACTTTTTTCAAAGGGATCCACACAATCATCAGATTTGCTAATGACTTGAAAGAGGCATTTTGATTTTGGATTTTAGAAAGTGAAGTCAGTATCAACAAACACAGACAACCGTCTGTCTAAGTTGGAAATCTGAGAAACAACACTGATGATTTGATGACACTTTTGAAGTTGGTCAGTTGACACTAAATCAGTGACAGACTCCATGAGCTGGTACACTTTTTTTGAAAATACTACATCCAAATGAGTATAATTTGAATACTGGGCTGTGAAAGAGAAAATGTACCCGCACATCCCAGGAAGGTCCGCATGGCTGCGGGCACAGCGTTCTGGGAATTGTTCCATTATTCACTGTCTGTAGAGCAGCTCCAGCGTTTGTCTCTAGATGACATCATTAACTCCCGTCTGTCTGCTGATCATCTTAAAAAGAGACTTGCTTAAATTCTCTCCTTACATAATGTTATAGAAATAATATATTTGCATTTTTATTTAATAAGATAACATGAATTCAGCATAATGTACATTTCTACTATTGTATACTATTTTCCAATCACAGATGTCTCGAAAAAGTTTTTTCTAGCAGCTCAATTTACATAATGTGTCTCTTTCCTTGCTATTTCATAATATGAAAAGTCTGTAAGAAGTATTGAGTTTCACAGACGGGATCTTAAACAGTGATCTTAACGGAAGAAGTGATTGACCGGTATGAACAAAAACAGTATTTCTGTAAATCTTGACTCTTTACAACATGACTCTTGTTGTAGAGCCCATTTCAATGTCACATTATAATTAAAAGTTGCTAAAAGAAGATAATCCATTACACTGAACATATCTGTGAATTCTATCATTGTGAGGTAAATTATTGCATGAACTGTATGTATATAATGAATGTGCTGATTTGCAGCATGTGCAGCAGATGACACAATAAGCAAATAGTAACATGGTGAAAAAAGGAGAGTTTCAAAATTCCTTGAATTTTGCTGAACAAATCCCACTGTTGTTATATTGTTGTCACTGTAATTTCTAAAATAAAAGCCCAGTTAATAACCCGCATAAATAAACAGAGCCAGGTCACTAATTAAGGCAAGTTAAAGTTAAAGCATTGAGGGGGTAGAATTACCTGTACTATTATGCTTCAAATGTACATGTAAATTCACCGGCACAGCAACAATTCAGTACGGGACAGTATGACAACACAGTCAAGTCATACTCACCCTACTCACTGCTCTGAGTTTCTCTTTTTTTACATAAATACTCTTTTCATTACCTGAATATTTTCAGGCACTTACATTGTGCAGTACTTACTATAACTGTTGAGCTACTGTCAACAGCTCAACTCTCTAACCTGCACATATCTTTATATTAAAAGTCTTCTAGTGGTGAGGCAACGCTGGTACCTGCTATCATTAAGGTTTTTAAACCCTGAGTCCTTGGCTGCATGTCTTGCCCTCTCTCTCCTGTATTCACTGTCTATATCTGCAGCTGTTACTGTCCAATTAAGGCTAAAATAACCTTCAAAAACAAAAACGTCATCTAGTGGCTCGAAGGGCCAAATTGTACCCCCACCACACTCAATGAATATAGTAGAATTGAAGTTTAGAGTGGATGTTCCCTTTAATTTAGGGCATTTTAAAGAAGGTATACAGAGTGAACAACTAAATATCAGTGGCAATACTCAATACTCAATTCTACAAATGTTTTAGATTACTGCAGAGCAACTGATAAAGCATGCAATAGTGTTTCAGGTAAATGTTTCAACATTCAAGTTTATCGTTTCAGTGTGAAATCTAGATTATAAACCAGTTATTGAAACTAAATTCATAGGAAAAACATGTTTTTTTCTTCAATAAGACAGATCAAGGGATGTACTGTAAGTCATACAAGTTGTGGAATTCACATGAAGTTGCAGTTGGCAGTTGGGCAAGCCACTGTGGTTTAACACTAGAAATGGGTCAAATGTACCTGCGGCTGTCTTTCCACTGCATGTAACTTTGTTTCAATAAAATATTCAAGCTCCCCAGTCTGACTTTTCCTAAAAGTGTGTCATGTAGCATGCACTATTGTTAAAAAATGTCTAGATAAAGCCAGATGTTAATCATTTCAAAATTCTAAGATCTATATTTTCTATTAAATTCACCTGTTTAAAGTTCTGTGTTGCTATCTACTGCCGAGAAACAGACACATGAATGCAAAACAGCCATTAGACTTTCTCACTGCACTGAGTGAAGGAGAGTCTGATGGTATATGTTTCAGGACTGAGGGAGGTGTCCTGGGTTGATTCTGCATCTGATTGGTCATCGCCTGACAGCGATTCAGCGCCTCAGCAAAAAGAGAGCCCGCCGCATCCTCCTGTTGATGATGTGTTAAGGCCTAGGCCTATTGTGATAGCCATAAAACACAGGCCAATAAGCCACAATATTATCAAATGTAGACTATAAACATTTATGAAATTGACTTAGTCTTATGGAACTTAACTTACGTAACTTCACACATGTAACTAACCACCTATTTTAACGCGAACCACGATCTTTTCCTAAACCTCACCAAGTATTTTTGGTGCCTAAACCTATCCAGACGGAGACCATTTCTCAACGTTAAGAATGTTTTTTATTTAGAAAGTCTAACCGCCTGCTGCAAATTTATTTTTGATAACTTTACCTGATGTAGCATGTTATATTTATTGTTGTTAACTTGACCACGGTGCCCTGCACATCCAGAAATGGCACTGGCTCCCCAGTGCGTTAAAAAGCAACGCCAAGGGATTTGGGCCAAGCGTCTATATGTGACGACTTGGGAGTGAGAACGGCCAACCCGTTCTCACTCCCAAGCCTCCCGGAGGGCTCAGCAGATTTATGATGGCACAGCCTGCAGGGCTTAATGAATACTGGGCTTCTATAGTAATGCTCACCCAACTTTCGACACATATTACTGTGTATTGATCACTGACATTAAAGACGTGAAACTAGGTCATCAGTTATGATGAATATATGTTGGGGTGTGTGAAAGGAACTCAATCTCTTTGACCTTTTCTAATGCTAATGCTACTGCTTTTGTGTTTGTTCTCTGTTAAGCTGCTGTGAATAAAACTCATCAGTTACTTTAGATATTTTACATTAAAGCCTACCAGGAAAGGAAGGGGTTATGCCCCTCGAGCCGCCATCTTTCTTTTCTGTTAAAAAGAGAGAGAGAGATGTTGAGTGTTGAGTTTGACATGACTTTGTTGTTGTACTTATAGTGAGGAAATAACCTATAATAACCATGTTTGAAAGTAACTGTAAACAATAAAACAGTTAACAATTCATCATTAAATTATCAAATCTAGTGCCATTTGACATCTGGATTTGACAAGTGAAACTGTCTACAATTGCTACTGCCAAGAAACTAAATGATCTAAGGCAAACTAAGCAAGGTTTTTGCTTATGCAGCTGTTTGACATGATCAAACTTTAAACAAACAATGATTAGAGGAAGCTAAGGTCAGTTTGACTCCAAAATGAACCAGTGATAACCCACTAGAGAGAACAAATTCCTTTTTCATTGCCTATTATAATCGTTAACTATTTAGGAAATTCATCACTGTATGAAAATGATTAACATAAACTAAATGAAGGTAGCAATGTTGTTCTGTGGAATCAAGCCTCATGAGAGTAGAGAGAAGATCTGTTTTTGGATTGAAGGGTTAAGGTTAGTTAATGTGTTCTCATTATCTTGACATATATGGTTATCAGTTAATAAGTGTATATGTATTGAATATCTTTTCTTCTTGTTTCTTTTGTAGCGTTATATTGTTCCTGTGACACTGAGGGGTCTTAGTGCTACAGGAAACTGGGGGATTTTCCTGATGGAAAAGCACTTGGCCACAGAGTGATCGTTGCACGACGAAAATGTTCTGATACTTGTTTTTGTGACCTTAAAAGGCCACAAAGAGAAAGTACCAAGGTTTCAAAAGAGTGGCACAGTTATCAGCCGGCCATGTTTTCTACGTGGCTGTAGTTTTGTAGGGGTTTATATTAGGGAAAAGAAGGAGTAGTCTTCAGGCATTATTCCTGAAGGTGGAGGGAAGAACATCTCAGACAAAACTGGTCAGTTATGTCTCCTACATACATAACATTTACTAATTGTGTATAACATTTAGACCATTTCAGTGGCTTTGGAGTTCCTGAGTAATCACCAAGATTCCAGGTTCTGATAGTATAAAACTCTCCTTTAATTTAACTCCACTTCTCCTTTCATTCTATTTTATTCTTTTCTTTAATTATAACTTTATGTAATCACAACACTAATTGTCATTTTCATATATATTTTGCACCTTTGTATGTTTAATAAATAATTCAAAATTAAGAAAGTTTGATTCCTGATTTAATTTAAACAAATTAAAAACAAGAGCAGATCAGAAAACAGAGAGGTTTTTTTTACCAAAATATTAGAATATCTATCTATAGAACATGAACAATTAGGTACAACCCACTGTCTCTAATATAAGCCTGTAAATAAAGGCCTCTGAATTTGAGAAAATTAACCCTTCTGCCACAACATACTCTGTTATAACTGGCTGATCATAAATAATTGAATTTAATGCATAAATGGGGAAGTCTGTGAGGAAAACAGGGTTTCAGTTTAATCTTCATTCATACATCATTTTACTATTTAAACAACAAGGGTACAAAAACAGACATCTGGGGAGGCATGACATCTTATTCATTGTACTTCATTGTCCAGCAAACAAAGTTGGCCAGATGTTTGATCCCTCTGGGCTTTGTGCACAGGACTAGGCAGTGAGAGCATCCAGACTATCTCTGCCAAATGCAAAGGAAGACCCCAACTCTGAGATCCATGCAGCAGGCTGCAACGCTCTGGCTGCGACGCCTTGCCCACCAAGCCAGATGGAGGGCTAATCACAGGAACAGCATGCAGCTTGAACCCCTGAGTTAGCCCTGCCTGTCTGGACACAAAGCAGGACACTAAGCTCTGTCTTTCACTGTACTGGACTGTCACACTGCTGTTTGCTTGCTCCATCTGTCTTCCTCACTCTCTGATCCTTTTTAGAAGTTTGCCACACTGCACACCCTGTTTCCTGTCACTTTATTGTCCTCAAACATTAGAGAGATCCACTGAGAAACTCTAGAATAACTCAGTGGACAGAGAACAAGAGGAACAATTTATGAATCTCTTTCATTCAAAAAGATACAGACCCAGTTTGTTTTGTTGTCAGCTCCTGAGTATTCCCCAGAGAGGCGCAGTTGCAGGAGATAAGAGGGACTATTCGAGGTCGATGGTATTGAGCCTGGATTCCTGTCCCTAACGAGATTAGCTGCAAGAGAGAGACAGAGATGTTAGGTAAGCCACAATTTGAAAAGAATTGTAGGTTATAGATTATCTGTAACCTTGTTGTGCCCAGAAAGCCCCTCTTCCTAACACTGATCTGTCAATGACACAATTCCATCATGATGTGATTCTATGTGTTTAGTTTGCTGTAAATCACAGTGCAGGTGTTCAGAATCAACAGTGTTTCAAACACAACAAGACAGAGGCGGGTTTTGGTGTGTTTGAGGTAGTGTATTTGTTGATTTAATTTGAAGACATTCTTAAAGCATCGGAATTAAAAACCTTCATGTTGTGGCCTTTCAATAAACATGTTAATAATAACTCAAATGTGATTAAGCAAAGTTGTGACCTTCATCAGGATAAAATACACTAAATTACAGGCTTAAATATTTGAATGATGGCCACGTAACGGGCAGAGAGGTTTTGGAGTTGTTTCAAATACCATCCATCCATCAAAGTCCATCTCTGTGCATTGGTTGATTCGAAACTTACTTCAGAATAAGATAGCTTGTCAAATACTGGGTAGAGTACCACCAATTTGCTGAGGATTTATTACTTTGGTGACCCTGTGATCTTGTGTCTCGCACTGCCCATCAGACCAAATGTAAAAGTTTTGATCAACACTTTGGTAGTATCTTAGGAACTTGGCCCTTGTTTTTGTATTTCTTTAATTACCATCATACTCACCAAGATAATTGCTTGGATCTCGGACTTGGGGGGGGAAACCCAAACAAATCAAATTTTTATTAAAACATGCTAAAGAGTTGGAATGGAGTTTAAGTACAACAATCATTTATTTTTCAGTGGAAAGTGATTTGTTTCTTTGAGAGAGAAGGATTTATAATTTTCATTTGATTTCTTAATATTTATAATCATGTATTTATAGATTTTTTAATCAATTCATTTAACAGATTTATGTCTATTTTTCCAATATAATTATGACCCGTCTAGCCTTCGATATATAATTTTATCCCATTCATGTGTGCAGGAAGCCAACAGTAAGTCAGAGGAAGTCTTAGGACATTGTTACAACCCTAAGGGTCATGTGTTTGGTTTGGGGTGTGTTCCTTCTCTCTCTCAGGTAGTGGCCCTTCCCCCAATGCCTCTGCTGCATGAGTGAGTGTCAGCAGGTGTGCCTGATCACCACTCAGTGCCTGGAGAATAAGAAGGCTTGGGTCTTTTCACACTGGCGACCTGTCCAGGATGTATCCCGCCTTTCGCTCGATGCCAGCTGGGATTGGCTCCAGCCCCCCGCGACCCTGTACGCAGGATAAGCGGTTGGCGATGGATGGATGGGTCTTTTCACAGCACTCGGTCTGTTTCCCTTGCTACCTGTTGTGACCACACTGCAGACCAACACCCGTGAGCAGACCACTGCCAACCAGTCAGCCCAGCGGACAGGGGAAGCCCATTCAACCAGTGGGTTGAACACCGACTTAGATCTTCCGTGAGTCCAGAACAGTGTCTGGTTTTAACCTCCTCGGTGGAGAGAGGACTTTTCAGCTGTTCATTTAGTGTTGAACTTTGCTCCCTCAGTTACTTAACCTGTGTGTATTGTTGTCTTACTTTGTTGGCTCGCTGTCTCCTTTTGAGAGATTAGTTTTGTGTTGGTTTTCCTTTGTCAATATTGTAATAAATACACTTCTTAGTTTGCACATAACCCTGACTTCCTGTCCTCTTTTGCCCCGGTTTTATTTCAAATATTGTTGCTCCTCCTCCCCCTGGACTTACCATCCGGAAGAATGTAACAGACATATATGCTCTCAACCAGCTCGGGTGGAGAGTGACTCTTGTTAGCATACTCTATAGGTCCAAAAAACATTGAAGCATGAAGAAGACTCAGGTGACTTTTTGCTCAGTACCATCTTTGAAAACTATCCAGTTGTGCTACTTACATCCATAACAATGACTGACCTGTTTGAATCGCTGAACAAATCAGACCGCAGGCAAAATAATTCGCACACTTCTACCTCTAGGGGGCCTTGTTAGCAAGGTCAATGCATTTTGGCTTGGAACTCCCGCATACGATGGCGGATATCAAAAACCTTATATCCACTATTCAGCTCGATTCAGGGGATCGAGCTGAATTTCCTGGTGTAGGCCACGCCCATTTCTGCCCAAACTTTTTTTTTTTCGTAAAATCGCGAAAACTGAAAAACCTCCTTTAATCAAACTTGCCATGGACCATCTCTGGACGAAGCTGATACAGGCTTGTGCTCCCCAGATCGATATGCATAAAACCAATTATAAGCTAAAAAAATTTCTGCGAAAAACGCTAAAAACAGGAAGTGATGTCATATCTTACTTTGGAAATGGCCAAATTTGAGAAAAACACCAAATTTGAGTATGTTATGTGCCATGACCTCCTGACAGACTGTACAAAATTTGGTGCAACTAGCCCCTAGGTGGCGCTATTTAACACGAAAAATTCAGATTGACATGAAAGTTGAGCCGAATTGTTGAGGATGGTCCCCTGACTCCAGGGACCAAGTTGACCCAAATAAGTGCATAGGTGCCCCTGTTGTTGCAGATTAAAGACTTACATTCATTTTTATATCTCTATAACCACAAGTCCGATTTATACCAAATTTGGGGCAATTGTTCCCCATGGGCCCCTGATGACACCTGAAATATTTGATGCAATTCGGCATAAAGGTGGTGCTATAATCGAAGCTTTATAACGTGTCCTGTTGATTTGAATGGGATTTTGAACCAACGCACATTTTGCCTCATAACTACACACCACTACATAACACATTCATAAACCTTATATCTACGTGTTTGGGGGATGCTGTGGATTCGTATGGTATAGGACACACCTTTGTGCGATGGCGTTAACATGTTGCTAAATCAAAAACTGAAAAAACAATTTTTATTAACTCCTCCTAAACCGCAAGTCTGATCGGCAACAACCTTGGCACAGACCATCTCTGGATGAAGCTGATACAAGCATGTGCTCCCCAGATTGATATGCAAAAACTGTTCCAATTATAAGCTAACAATTGTCTACGCAAAAAGCTAAAAACAGGAAATCATGTCATATCTTAGGTTTGGATTGGCCGATCAACACCAAACTCGAGGGCCTTATGTGAAACGACTTCCCAAAGGGCTGTCTGGAATTTGGTGTCAATCGGTCGGTAGGTGGTGCTATTGATCTTATGTCAAATAACACTCACATTGACATACATCCATTTTATATCTCGGTGACCGTGTCCCTTTAATTTCAAACTCTGGACATTTATTTGCCCCCGAAGGCCATGGCGGGGCACCCGGGTCGACACGTGTCAGCCAGGGTCGTGGCTGGCACCGGGGGGCTTGGATCCCGCTTACAACTGCTTGCAGTTCTAGTTTTTATTGGTTCAGTTCTGCTTTCCTTAACCACCTTCTATCTGGCACCTATTTCTAGGATAAACACCTAAAATCACATATCCAAATTAAATCAGTAATATCTCCTCAACCATTAGGCCTAGATGCATAATTCTGGTCTCCTTTGAAAGGTCAGAAGCTAAGGAATATAAATCCATTGTAGATTAACATATTTATTTTACCGTTACAGACTACATGGATATGAAATACAGAAAAAATATAATATTTTCATCCTCGCCTGGTAAAAAAAGCTTTATTTTGATGCAATAAACCATCAAAACCATCATAAGGTAGACTATAATGCACCTGAATATCTTCTAATACACCTAGAATACAACTGTAACTGTAAATTTGATGAAAAGAAACTGATATACAACAGTTATTACAAAAACAAAAATATACCAGGCGAATGTCCATGTTTTGGCCATATTTACTGTTTATATGTTCACTTTTATTGGTAGTTAGCTTCAAAACATTATTTCTCTCCATACAACCACGTTCCAAATAACATAAAGCTTCCAAAACACTGAAATATGCTCCGTACTTGTATAGCGCCTTTCTAGTCTTTTCAACCACTTAAAGCGCTTTTACACTACATGGTCTTGGAATGATGTGCAGACCAAGCATAAACTTCAATCCCTCATCTCTCTAAATGATTTTAAACATAGAATAAAGGAGGTGGTCACTGCTAACTGCAGCTGCTTTGCCAATTCTATTACCATTTAACTCCTAATTAAATCTTTGATCTAATACTGTTGTGAACAGTAATATGTAGGGTATTATGTAATACCTAAATGTTTGTGTTGCTGTGCTGTGTCTCGGTGTTGTACAACAGGTTGTTGTGGAGACTTGTTTTGCTGTGTTTTCTGTTGTATCTAATGATGATGTTGTGATTGGTTTCTTATTGTTGCTTGGTTATCTGTATGATCCTGCTATCTGACCCTGTCTTGACTAGGTCTCACTTGTAAAAGAGGTTTTAACCTCAATGTGATTTTCCCAGTTAAATAAAGGTTGAGAAGAAACGTCTCAACCAAGTTTAGTTGCAGCTTGATTTTAAACTTCCTTGGATAACTATGACCTGGATGAACCTTCGCAGACATGTAACTCACACTGTGTGTTTTGTCAGAGTGATTGTTATTTGGAGTGCTTTTAATGTGCGCTATCGCTCATGCGTCTGGGCATAGGGAAAACTGTTTTCTCTCCTCTGCTCTCTGCTGGACAGGTACAGTGCGTAACCATCATCTCTGCCTCTCACAGCCGTTGTTGTTTTCCAGTTTCATTCCCTCTTGGTATGTCCAGTATTGTATTGTGCCATCTGTGTGCATACTATGTACTGTGATGTCCAACTGTTTCCTTAAAGCTGTTCTGGAGGCTCGTGTCGGCCTGCCTCCATACTAAGACACTTCATGTTGGTTTTATCTTTTATTTGTCACCCTTGTAGGTATATGATCAGCCTGCACAGGTGTCAGGGCCTGCTGCAGAGCCAATGTCAACCTACATCTTCCTTTCAGTATTCTGGCAGAGGGGTTCAAGCCTGAGCCAGAGAAATCCTTCTCCACCAAGATCAGCGGTCAAAGATCTCCTCTGCGGGTATCGAGGTCAGAAGGGGAAGGATGGGGCGTGTGCAAGAGGCAGTTGAGTGGACTGAGGCAAGTTTGTGACACAACATTGTGATCAACACTGCATTCAAGGCCTTGCTACAGCCCAAGTTAAGGTGAAAGCTAATCCAGGAGGAGCTATAGGTGGAGGAAGCTTGCTACAGCAGAATAGTGGATATGTGCAAGTGGGGGCCTTGGAGCTTGCTAACTCTGCCAAAACAGGAGATCTTTGGAACACATCCTTAGCTGCTGTCCAAAGGCCTTGGGAGAGCAGCGGAATCATTGGCATCATGACCAAGTTCTGTGGGCATAAGCAGACACCATCTGCACTGGCATCAGCTACAGAAAGCAGCAACACCCAACAAAGTACATCATTGTCTTTGTCATAACAAAGGGAGAAGCCTCAGCCCCAGCCAAAGGCCCAATGTGGGCTGCTTGCTACAGCAAGAGACTGGCGGTTCCTGGTCGATATAGGGAGACAACTGAGGTTCCTGGACACCATTGCAGCTACTACACTCAGGCCAGACATGGTCCTGATGGCTGATGCACCCATCCGTTCCCTGGGAAGATTGGTTGGAGGCAAAAGGAAAAAAAAGAGAGTGGTACTTCCCTGACTAACAGGGATCTCAAAAATTTCAGTCGGTGAATTATCCATTCCAAGCTGTGCCAACACTAGAGCTGTGTCTAAGTCAGACGGAGTTAGATAGGGTGACCATATTTTGTTTTCAAAAAAGAGGACAGTGCCGCAGTTCTTGCAAAGGGCAAGAACTTAATCAACGCAAGCCTCTGACCCGCGCTTCATGAGAATTCCTCGTTGATGGGTAATTGCTATTCCAATCACGAGTGGGGTACTGCCCTGTCCATATAAGGGCATCACAAACCTGTTGCACAGAGGGCCACGTAGCTAGTTAGCATGCCAGAGTCTTGTTCGTTATTGGGATTAACCATACAAATAGCTCCACCAACTAAGAACAGCCATGCACCACCCACTGAATGGAGAAAGAGCTATCAATCTGTTAATCCTTTCCATGTCCGGGTGAGGTTTCCCATGTTGAGTCAAAGTAAGCTGCAGGCTCCACACCTGGTGATGCCCATCCGTCACTTCCTTTAAGCTTCAGCTTTGCAGCTATATTCCTCATGGACGCTCAATCAGATAATCATCAGGGAATGGTAAAACATCTAAGAGAGCTATAACCACTGTCTGCATAGCTCTTCAAAACACGACATACCATGTCTGACACTTCCTTCAGTCTGCAGGCTTCAGCTAAAGTGGAAGAAAAACTTCTGATAACCTGTCAGCGAGCAGGTTAGCTTCACAGAGAATGTTGCCATAGAACCAGCTTTGTTAAACGGAAAACCCAGAGCTTCCTTCAACTCTGAGTCAACTAACTGAAACCACTTTCTGAAACAGGACTCTAGACAAAGTTCCTTGCGTCTTCCTCCTACCATCTTCCTAGCCACTCTTGTCAGGCTTTCCCACATCATGCTTTACTGAAAGACCCACATGCCCACAGTAAGAAGTGTTTTCAAAGAGCAGGCAATCAGCACCCAGCATCACATGCTGCAGTCACAGTTGTCACACTTCTCTTCAGTCTCCACCCTATACAGTAGCACAGCGGGAGACGTCCTACTGGGAAACAGGCCTGCCTCTTATTCCTATTATAGCAAATATGGCCCTTGCAATTTCTATGTAAGT